ATTGAATTTTGTTGCTTTGAGGATCTTGGACGCTTTGTTCTCCTACACTCTCGGGCTTCCACTTATAAGGTCTCATTTATAAATTTTGAAGTAGCATATATTGCATTTGGTTTGCGCTTGAACTTGCATCGGATATGAGCTTGTATTGGGTCGGATTTGAGCTTGTCGTATTTACCTCCCAAATTTAGGATGTTACAGTTAAGGTTCAATCTTTTTCCCCTTATGCACAACAGAAAGGTGTATTATTTTTGCATCATTCTTTCTTCTGCGAGATGTAAAGCCTCAAAATTTTCATATTTTTTGTTGAAAAAGAAAAAAGGGAAAAGGAAAGAAAATTCTAGCGTTAGTTTGTATCTTGAGCTTTGTAGGATAGTCATGGAGCCTTACAATTTTCAACTTACTCCTGTCTGAGTGATGCATTCCTACTATAATTATTTGCTGCCAGTGACCAAAAAAGAAGTTACCATTTTGCAATTATCCCCCTCTTTTCCCTCCAACTTTTATGGGAGATGAAAGAACTAGTACAATGAGGTATCCTTGTACTATCACAGTCTCCCATGCATTACGTAGGCTAACGTGATCTGGTCAGGAAAAGATATGTTAGTTCTCTTGAGCTCATCTGAATACAAATTCTGTATGCACTCTTGATATATGACCTTATGATAGCTATGCCAATTCTCTAGCTCACCATTTCCCCCTCTGCTTCTCTACCACAAAGCAGGGTTTCAGGTGGTATGGCAGACGCCTTAGAATTGACGAAGATGGAGATGTCGCCGACGAATTCTTAGATGAAGTCCTACCACAAGATAGATCTATGTCACAAGAACATAGAACATTGCCCAGGTTTGAGGTTAAGTACAACACCAGGCCTGCTCCAGTTCGTAAGCAGGCTATCACAATCAATGGAAACGTTCATCCAAGTATGGAGTACAAAGGAATGTTACGTTGGGTTTGAAGAACACTCTCTAAATCAGATTCAGATGATCAAGGAGAAAGCAGCTGAATCCATGCTTTAATGGCGCAGATACTTTTCGGCCTGCAGACTCAGCCACTTCAAATGGAGGTTGAATTGGTGTTATTCTACGTATGTTAAAACTAAGCAGTCTGTTCTCCTTTCCTGGCAATCTGTCTAAATATTGTAACAACTTGGCCACTTATTTATTCAATGACAATGATCGCAAAACTTGAACAGACGCACAACATAACACTTATGTACAATGCTTAGTTCCTAATAGTTGCTATACATGCACTCATGGTAAATTTACAGATACTGCTGTAAATTATTCTTTTGCCGCATAAGTAAACGGTAAACAGGTGCCGAGCCCGGCATGTCCCTCTTCAAACTTGGTTGGCAACTGCAGACTTTGCAGACTTTGATGATCTGCATATGTTGATGTTGATGATCTGAATGAGTATATATCAGGTTGGCAACACACCGGTCATGCATGACTCAGTTGACTCAGATATTAGGGATACTTCTCTCCTGCAGGACGAGTGCCCGTTGTTGGATACGTGGGATTCACAGTGCCGGTTGTCCAATACGAAGGATTGACTGTTCCAGTCGTTGGATATGCAGAACCTACGGTCCCGGAAGGCGGATAAGTCACACCGGCGGTCCTTTGCTTCGGCTTCTCGTGCCTTGCCTCGCTCGTGGGCGATCTCCTTGCCTAGCCTCGTATGAGCAGTGGCCGTCTCCGCCTTCTCTTCGGCCTTGGAGGTGCACTGCTTGAGCTTCTCCTTGGCCGTGCTGGCCATGTCCTTTACCTTTTGTGTTGCAGAATGCATTGATGAGGTTGTTGGTGGGTGTGGTAGTTTGGATCGGGGATCGGGGATGGGGGTGGATTGGATGAGAGATTTATTGACGGCTGAAGGAGAGATTTAGCTGCCACGTCGGTCGCTATGTGGAGTGCATGCAAGAGGCTGTCGAGGCACGTACTGCTTAATTTGGTGCCTTCGTATGGAGGGCTAGCTCTTTACAGAAACCAGTGTGTATCAGTTGTCTGATTTAAGTCGGTAACTTAATTACAATATCAAGTTTAAGGATAAATCAGTCTAAAATTTTATCCAAAAGGTCTACCTGCACCAGTTAAACTACGGGAATGGTAATGTTTAAGAGTTTAATTAATCATAGCTTTGGACTTTTTTTGACAGAAAGAAATAGGGTGAGGTATCTTGTTCATATATCATTAGGTTATCAAAAACCTATCCTAACCTAGAAGTGAATAGTCTTGACAGAAAGAAACTGGGTGAGATACATTGTTCATATATCATTAAGTTACTGAGGAGAATAATTAGTCCATACCAAAGAATAGGGGGAGGGCTATAGTCGTCATCTATTACGAAGGAAAAGGAAAATTATAGTAGAGAACTCAGACTAAACAGTTCTAGGAAAGGATAGAAGGGGAAGTATATATTGTTAGGAGCTACCACAGAGCTCGTACTTACATCAAAACCAAAAAGAGATTAGACGTTATTTATATATAAGTAATTACAAAAGAGAGTTAGATCAACATTTTGATTTCTTAGAAGTTGTCATCCACTCGAGCCATGTCGTGGGATGAAGAGCGTTTTGTAGCAGAAGCTGGGCTAATCCCCTCTCGGCCACTATTTTTGAACAGTGGTAGCTCTCTTAGATGCAATGTTACTTGTCCATAACATTATGAAATGAGTGATATTAGATACCAAAACATGGGGGAGATACATCTGTCTCTTTGAAAATTAGGTTGTTCCTTGTCCTCCATAAACACCAACAAAGAGATGGAAAAAGAAGAGACCAAAGTAGTCCATCTTTTTTATCCACTAGAAAAGAGCATTCGATTCCATATTGTAACTGAAAAGAGCCATTCAATTAGTCCATAACAAAGATATAAGGCCTAATGTGAAAAAAAATTCTATTCGATGAAATAAATAATTAACAAATGTTCTATTTTCTTTAATTCTTAGCGTTCCCATAGTTTTTGGCTCCGCCATTGAATGCACCTAAGGATTCTTTCACAGTAGCAATTAACTTATTAAATATTAGTATTATCACAATAGAGAGTCAATGTAATTTTCGATTTTAAAATGAATAGCAAAACACTCTAAACTAATTATTTTGACTTTTTCGGTATTATCATGAATTATTATATATACTTCTATGAAAATTTGTAATGATCTTTTTATGCTATATATTTGCAAGCATCAAATATATCTTTAATGCATGCTATGAAATACACATTTTATCAGTGTTATACCCCTAAAAAATGCTATATATTAATCTCCACAGAACAGTCTGACACTAGTGGTGATAAATCATATCCGTATATGAGGAAATATCCATAACCGTATCCGTTAGGATACGAATATGGTTACTCAAATCTATAACCGATATGATATGGTTACATATATGATTTTATAGTGAAATATTAGTATCCGTATCCGAAATATTCGAATACATATTAGTCATACTCTTACAATAGTTTTGATTCTTAGATTATGGATTTGTGGTTAATTTTGATGATCAAGATGTCTAATCTTAACTTTTCAGTTATATTGAACATATTAACAAACTCTTTTGTATCACATCTTTGTATCACATGAACTATTTTTTCTCAATACTATCTAGCTTTCTCATATCCGTTTTGTATCTGCATGCATATCCGCTTATATATCCGCATGTATATCCGTAACCGTATCCGATTTTAGCGGATATGGATATGAATTTTCCTTACCGAGGTATATCCGTATCCGTATCTGTATCCGAGATGAGTAAGCGGATATGGATATGTTAGGCATCATATCTGAGCCGTATCTAGACCGAATGTAGCCCTAGTCGACACGTGTCTTATACTATACCTAATACGACTAATTCAAGACGAAGATAATCTCCGCCTCAGCTCGGACCATTGCTTAGCCGACATCTCACGTAATCGAGACAAAAGGCGGTACTACTCGGCCAACCCTTCAATTGATTCCACAAGTGACCCGACTCCGCCCACTGTTCAGCCGACATCTTGAGTAACTGAGTCAAAAGGCAATACTTGTCGTCCAACGCAACCAATCACCCCTGCGAATAACCCCCACTCAGCCCATTGTATCAGTCGTCAACATGTATGGTCGGCCATCAGCTGGACGGCTAAAAGCGTTGGTAGTTTTCTCGAACACCGCACTGACAGCCACCTGCCCTTGCATTAACTGTTCTGACAAAGCCATTATTGCTCTAGTCGATCCATAAAGTCTTTATGACTTATCAGACTACTGTTAGCACCAAGCAACTGCTGTCGCTTGGTACTGACCATCTGGATGGCCCATTTTCGCCAGCGCCGAACACTTGTCAGCTATATGTGGACTTAGCTGCCTAGTTAGACCCGGCCCAAGTTACATTCTTGCCCCTCAGATCCACTATAAAAAGGAGAGGAACTGCATGAGGTAACTCTCTCTGGTCTTTTTTACACAACTGAGAGGTAATTCTATATTTCCACACTCAAGATCATCTACTGACTTGATCGTCGGAGGAACAACCGGAGAACCCAACTCTGTCATCTTATGAGTTTTTTCTTGTGCTTGGAAGAACAATAAACCCCAGAGCTATACATCAGACAGAATTAGAGGACCTTAATCGCTCCATAAACCTGTAAATTATCCCTTGTTTGATAACTGACATCAACAATCAGAACCTCATGCATGTAAGCTGAAGATTCCGACTCTTTACTTGAAGAACAAATTTAATATCCTATCCCCCCATTTATTCCGTCGAGGGTCAGAACCGTCCACAGAAGCTGACCGCCCACAACTGTTCCGATAAAATGCGTACGCTATGATATCCAACTCCGAGACATATTCATGTTTACCCCATGAATAGTATACGTCGTACGTGTCGGTCTCAGACTAAACTCAACATGCATGCGCCACACCTAGCAACCAAACGTGGCAACGAAACCAATCCCCTAACTCAAATATATATATAGAACCTAATCCATCCTTCACTATCAGAAAAATACTACCAATATCACCGTCAAATCTCATCGCTTAAACATCACCAACAACAACAACAAGAATGCGGTCAGCAAAGGAGAAAGTGAAGGACATGGCAAGCACCGCAAAAGAGAAGGTCACAGAGGGCACGGCCAAGACTCAAGAGAAAGCCGAGAAGGCCACGGCCCATACCCACAAAGAGAGGGAGATGGCCCACGAGAAGGAAAAGGCCCGAGAGGCCGAAGCCAAGGCCCAGCTCCACCTAGAGAAGGCGGAGCACCGGGCCGATACCGCGGCACCCGGGCACGGAGTTGGCCGGGTCCCCCTCACGAAACATGCTCACGGAACAGGGCCTACTGGCACTTACACGGCTCCCGGAGGGACTTACCCCACCGGCGAGAAGTATCTTTAGGTTTTAAGGGTTTTAGTGAATTTGTGGTGTTTGTGTTGTTTCATGTAATATTTTAGATTAATTTGAGAGGTTTTAATGAATTTGTGGTTTTTTGTTGTTCTATGTTGTTTCAACTAGCTAGGTTTTTGTTAAAATTCTGTGATCGATGATTGAATCCTTTTGCTGGGTAAGAGTTCAGAAATGTATTTCTCACGGCCAAGACTCTAGAAAAGACCAAAAGGGCAGGGGATGTCCGAGTAAAGGCCAACGTCACCGAGTTAAAAGGTCAAAGCTGCGGCCGCCGGGTTACCCTGCAGGAGAAAAGTATCAGTAGAATTTTGGCTTTTTGGTGAAATTTGTGGCGTTTTATGTGAATTTTCAGTTGAAGATAGGGCGTTGGTGAAGTTGCTAGTGATGATTCGTTCTTTGTTGGTTTTGACTTTAAGGTGGCCTTTGGCAACGGGGGTATCATTGAGGGGTTTTATGTGAGGGGTGAAGGAGACTTTAACCTGTTAAAACATGTTTAGAAATTTATATAAAGGTTAAAGTGAGTTAATTTTATGATTTCTAAAATCTAAAAATTATAGAAGGGTTGAAGTTAATCCTTTTAAAGAAATTAGAACGAGTTAAACCTTTTAGAAATTTATATAAAGGTTAAAGTGAGTTAATTTTATGATTTGTAAAATCTAAAAATTATAGAAGGGTTGAAGTTAATCCTTTTAGAGAAATTAAAACGAGTTAAACCTTTCAACATGAGGCGTCCTCTAAATAATTTTTTAGAGGGATGATGACTTAACCTCTCTATTTACAAACAAAATAGTCAAAATTTTTTTAGAGGGATGAAGATTTAACCTTTAAAATAGTCAAAATCTCATTATTCCTGACCACTAAAAATGATTACAAAAACTAAAATAAAATTTATTAAACAGATTAATAATTTAGTTCTTTTTATTATAAAATAGGTTAACTACATAAATTCTTTTCTTTAATTTCTTTTTTTAACCCTTTACCAATGAGGATGCATATCTTCACCTTTAGAGCATGTTACTACATCCTCAGCTTTAAAGCATGTTACTTTTTTTTAACGTATGAATAAGTTTTTAGGGAAAAATGTGTCCAGGCCCCAAAAACAGAAACTTCATGTGCTGCAGCCCCTCCTACTTTCCCCCATGTGATTCAGCCCCTTGAAGTGTGACGTTTTGTGCTGCAGCCCCTTTTTAACAATTATTGCATGCCAACTAAGCTAAAATCCCCAAAACAACCTTATCCCCTCTCCTCAATCCTTCAAACCCAGTTCTCTCTCTCTCTCTCTCTCTCTCTCTCTCTAGAATAGAACTAACATTGTAGACAGAATAGAACTAACATTGTAGACAGAATAGAACTAACATTGTAGACAGAATAGAACTAACATTGTAGACAGAATAGAACTAACATTGTAGACAGAATAGAACTAACATTGTAGACAGAATAGAACTAACATTGTAGACAGAATAGAACTAACATTGTAGACAGAATAGAACTAACATTGTAGACAGAATAGAACTAACATTGTAGACAGAATAGAACTAACATTGTAGACAGAATAGAACTAACATTGTAGACAGAATAGAACTAACATTGTAGACAGAATAGAACTAACACTGTAGACAGAATAGAACTAACATTGTAGACAGAATAGAACTAACATTGTAGACAGAATAGAAATGTAGACAAAATAGAACTAACATTATAGACAGAATAGAACTAACATTACGGTAGGATCGAGATTCAAGTCAGTGAATATTGAGAATTAATGTTTTGGGATTTCCCTTGCTAAGCCACTTTAAAGGCCAGGCCACCGTATGCTTATGACAGCGTTGTACTTAGCAAAAGACAATCAGTACATATAAATGATATTAAAACTAAATTAGCTTACCTCAACATTTGCACCTCGATGGTAATCCATAGCCAATGTTTCTGCTGTTCTTTTTCCTTCATCATAACAACTCCTAACTCCTGGAAAGGCATAATAGTGAAATTAATATATTGATAACTCACTAAGAGAATAATGGAAGCTTACTTTCATTCAAAAAAGTCCATGAACAAACATTAGCTTCACTAAAACTAGCAAGATAGGATCACTAACCTATAGGGTTGACATAGCCCTAGTAAGTCTCCTTCTGTGGATGCTCAAGTGGGTCACTATAAACTTCACTAGTGCTGGTCAACAGGAAACGTGCCCCAATCCTCTTTGCCAGCCCCAACATGTTCAAGGTTCCCATCACATTTGTCTTGTATTCATGGTTAAGGATCCCCAGATAAATTCGACAGAAGAATCATAAATAGATTAAAGTTGTATGCAGATCAAAATTATCTAAGGTTGACCTAAAATAACATGTCAAACCATTGACAGGAGATGAACATAGTAAATCCAATAATCATATTTTATCATTCTAACTGAATGTCCTATTCCTAATTCAATCAAAATCCAATAAGCTTCACGAAACATAAATTGCAGGCAAAATCTACTATCAGTAGACACCTTGTACACGTCCACATATAAGATCAATTTTGTACCACTTTCTGCTGTAAGTGATAAGAAATCATTACCTAACACTACCTTTACGCCAGATGTATTGTTACCGTTAAAATCATTCCAGAATAACTGACACTTCAACATAGAACAGATAACCATCACCAAATAAAACATTCTATCCTAGATAATGTGATCTATGATGAACCCATAAAACAGATGTATTGTTACCGTTAGTTCTATTCTGTCTATAATGTTAGTTCTATTCTGTCTACAATGTTAGTTCTATTCTGTCTACAATATTAGTTCTATTCTGTCTACAGTGTTAGTTCTAATCTGCACAATGTTAGTTCTATTCTGTCTATAATGTTAGTTCTATTCTGTCTACAATGTTAGTTCTATTCTGTCTACAATGTTAGTTCTATTCTGTCTACAATGTTAGTTCTATTCTGTCTACAATGTTAGTTCTATTCTGTCTACAATGTTAGTTCTATTCTGTCTACAATGTTAGTTCTATTCTGTCTACAATGTTAGTTCTATTCTGTCTACAATGTTAGTTCTATTCTGTCTACAATGTTAGTTCTATTCTGTCTACAATGTTAGTTCTATTCTGTCTACAATGTTAGTTCTATTCTGTCTACAATGTTAGTTCTATTCTGTCTACAATGTTAGTTCTATTCTGTCTACAATGTTAGTTCTATTCTGTCTACAATGTTAGTTCTATTCTGTCTACAATGTTAGTTCTATTCTGTCTACAATGTTAGTTCTATTCTGTCTACAATGTTAGTTCTATTCTGTCTACAATGTTAGTTCTATTCTGTCTACAATGTTAGTTCTATTCTGTCTACAATGTTAGTTCTATTCTGTCTACAATGTTAGTTCTATTCTGTCTACAATGTTAGTTCTATTCTGTCTACAATGTTAGTTCTATTCTGTCTACGAGCGACGAGCTTAAGAAAACCCTTGTTTTTAAAGAGAGAGAGAGAGAGAGAGAGAGAGAGAGAGAGAGAGAGAGAGAGAACTGGGTTTGAAGGATTGAGGAGAGGGGATAAGGTTGTTTTGGGGATTTTAGCTTAGTTGGCATGCAATAATTGTTAAAAAGGGGCTGCAGCACAAAACGTCACACTTCAAGGGGCTGAATCACATGGGGGAAAGTAGGAGGGGCTGCAGCACATGAAGTTTCTGTTTTTGGGGCCTGGACACATTTTTCCCAAGTTTTTAATATAATTTTGATAGGAAATTTTGCCCTATTTTTACTTAAAAAAAGTTTTCACCAGTATAATAAGGCAAATCTACTTTAAAAATATATATCTTCAGCTCTAGAGCATGTTACTTTTTTTAACGTATGAAAAAGTTTTCACTAGTATGGCAAATCTACTTATTTTAACTTATAAGTAAGAAAATTTTATTATTAAAAGTAAGTTGAGATTTGGCAACTTATTATTATTTTTTGGCACGTACAAGTAACTTTTACTTATTAATTCTTGGTGCTTATCCTTTAAGAACATAAGTAACACTTAATAAGTAATAAGTAACATGCCCTGAGTTTTGAGTAAGTTTAAAATTTTGGATTAGGCTTTGAGAACGAAATTATAATGTAAAAAATATACCTGTTGGTAGCAGTGGCTGCGGATCCAAGATTTCGTCCCATTGACTGGGGTGAAAAAAATATAAGTCTACTAGAAAATTTGAATCCGTAAGTAGATGAATATGGTTATTACAACTTATATTCGATAGGATATAATTAGAAATATAGATATTTAGTAGAAATATTAATATCCGCATCTAAAATATCAAATATATGTTCATTATACAGTTGCAACATTTTAATCCTTTTAGATTAATGGACTTTGAGGTTATATTGATGACTAAAAGATCTAATTCTAGCTTTTTAGATACAGCTCTCTTGTATTTTTTAATATTATATATAGTTTTTTCATATTTGTTATGTCTGCATGTATATTTACTTATATATCTGTATGCACATACTCATATCCGTGTCTGTATCAAAATTTTTAGGAGATTAGTTTCTTTTAGCTTCTATTTCTATTTTTATGTGTTAGCTCTTTATTTTAGAAGACATAACTTAGTATTCTTGCAATTGTTTTTACACATCATGTAAGGGGTCGAATTTTATGTTTAGATTTTATCTTAGTTATTATATCCTATAAAGTTTTCTATTCACTAGTACAAAATAGAACAGTCCAAACAGTTATTGCAACCGTTTGGGCAAGTTGAAATAGCCCAAACGGTTCAAACCGTTTGGAATAATTAATCCAAACAGTTAAACTCATTTGGGCTATAAAAAAAAATCCCAAACAGACATCCCAAACAGTTAAAACCGTTTGGGATATTTTAGCCCAAACGGTTAAAACCGTTTGGGAGTTTTTTTGTATTTTTAAAAAAAATTAAATGTCGTTTTTCTCTCCGTTCTCCCCAAAATATTCATCCCACCGCCAAAAATTCATCCCCGAAAATTTCGTCCCACCGTCAAAAAATTCATCCCAAAAATTTCATCATCTCGCAGGCCCGCACCCTCTCAAGTCCCTAACCCCCTCCACCCCGCACCCTCTCAAGTCCCCAAAATTTTCATCACCGTGCACCCTCATCTTCGCCGGCCAACGTATCCCCTTCCACCTCCCTCATCTTCGCTGGTGCTCTCGCTCCTCTGCCGACGCTCTCTTCGTTGTCATCTCCTTCGACCGAGCACCGCCCCACTTCTCCTCCTACTTGCCCCCTCGTCGTCCTCATCTCCTCCGGTCGAGAACCGCCTCACACCATTCGAAGCTCGGTTGAGAACCCTAGATCTCCCATACCCTCCACCACACAGACACTTTCGCCTTGTCTTCTGCCTTCTCCTGCGCCTCATCCTTCTTCTCCGCCTCTTATTCCGCCTGCACCGACGACCACACCGACTCTGACAATCTGCCACCGACAACGATCACACCATCTCATCTTCCTCTACTTCACCATCTCCTCTTCAACATGTAAGTGCTCTCCTCTCACTCCTTAAAACCTTTATCCCTAATTTGACCATCTAACCCTAGGTTTTCTTAGAAAAAACCCAGTATTTAATAAACACTGTTGCTCTGTAGGTTGAAGGAGAAAATGAAGGAGGAAAATGAAAGAGCTAAAAAAAATTGCAGATGTAGATGTTAGTATTTGTTTGTAAAAAACAAGATAGTCCCACATTGGAATTTTGAACATTCTTTTAGAGGTTTAAAAGCATTGAATGCTTATTGGGCTTTGAATAATGGATCAAAGTATATGCTTCTAAACTCGCGTGCGGATAGCGCGAAAAATGCGTGATTTTGACGCGATTATTAGACGCACTTAGCACTTTGCACGCTTGCCGCTGCCGCTTAAATATTCTATTTTATATATATATTGAATATATATTTTTTTTAAATGTTATTTTGAATTTTTTTAAAAAAAATTATGAAAAGATAAGTGACTGTTGAAAAGTGGCTGTTTGCTCCAAGGGGTGTTTTGAAAAGTTATGACTGTTGGAAGCACCTTTTCAAAAACCTATAAATAGTTTATGTTTTCAGATATCTATTTACAATTCTTTTCTGAATCTTTTCTATCAAAAACTTCTGCAATATTACAAACTTGTTTCACAACGAATTAAGGAAAATTCCAGATTTACTTACTGGAATTTTTATTTTCTGTTGTATCCTGGGAAGAAAATTTGTATTAACCCGAAGCAACTTTGAATATCAAGTGGGGCAAATATTTCTTTAAGGAAAGTGTTTCACGCCTTAGAATTTCTGTCTCCTTCAATTTTAAAACTAACAATCTTAAAGAAATATCTCTGCTACGATGGAGTCGGAATCAATCAAGGTGATGAATCAAGACATGGTCAAATTGGACCGATTCGACGGGAATAATTTCTCTCTCTGGCAAGACAAGATGATGTTTCTTCTTACAGCATTGAAGATCTCCTACATCCTTAACCCTAATCTACAGCCCATAGAAGATCCAAAACCAAGTGCAGATGGCAAACAACCTACTGAGGAGGAAATAGAAGAAAAAGATCCAAAACCAAGTGCAGATGGCAAACAACCTACTGAGGAGGAAATAGAAGAAATCAAAAAGCAGAAGGCAAAACGGGAGGAAGATGAAGTGTTGTGTCGCGGTCACATTCTGAACACACTTTCGGACCGATTATATGATCTTTTCACGAGGATAAAGTCAGCAAGGGAGATCTGGAACGCACTGGAATTTAAATACAAAGCCGAGGAGGAAGGTACAAACAAGTATTTAATTGCAAAATATCTAGAATATAAAATGGTTGATGACAAGTCTGTCCTAGAGCAAGTTCATGAATTGGAGGTTCTGGTTAATAAGATTCATGTTCTCAAAATAGTTCTTCCAGAGTCTTTTCAAGTTGCTGCAATTATTGCAAAACTACCATCAACTTGGAAAGATTATTCGAAGAAACTATTGCATAAAACTGAGGATATCTCTTTGGAACAACTTCAGAAGAATCTTAGAATTGAAGAGGAGTCACGCATACGTGATTCAAAGAATTCTGTCCAAAGTGATTGTAAGGTCCACACCGTGGAAAAGAATGAATCTTCGGTAAAAAAATATGAACCTTCAAGTAAAGAAAAGTGGACAACACTTTAAAAAGAAGAATTTTCAGAAGAAAAAGGGATCCTGTTTTATTTGCGGCAAGCCTGGACATTTTGCTAAAGAATGTCGTCACAAAAAAAATAATAATGTAAAATCAAAGCCTTCTGCAAATATGATAGAAGAGAATCTGGTTGCTATGATTTCTAAAATCAATATGGCTTCTGTTAAGTCTGGATGGTGGCTTGATTCTGGAGCAACAATCCACGTTTGCAAGGACAAATCCTTGTTCAAAGGATTTGAAGAAATTTCGGAAATTACAGAAGTGCAAATGGGGAACAATGCTTGTGCAAAGGTTGCTGGAAAGGGGACTGTTGATATAGATTTTACTTTTGGAAAGAAATTGACTCTTATAAATGTTCTGTATGTACCCGAAGTTAGAAAGAACTTAGTTTCTGTTGATCTTCTTTGTAAGAAAGGGTTTCGAGTTGCTTTTGAGTCAAATAATGTTATCCTGTCTAAGAACAGGATGTTTGTGGGAAAGGGCTACTCTTGTGATGAAATGTATCAACTATGTATTAATAATAAAGTTATATCTTCTGTTTATATTGTTGAGTCTTCATATTTATGGCATGATCGCTTAGCACATTTAAATTTTCGCTATTTGAAAAATATGAGAAAGTTAGACTTCATTAACTTTAATGGTGAATTTGATAAATGTGAAATTTGTGTTAAGTCTAAATTAACAAAGAAATCTTTTCCAAGTGTTTCTCGCAAAGATTCTAAAGTTTTAGATTTAATACATTTTGATATATGTGAATTGAATGGTATGTTAACTAGAGGAGGAAAAAGATATTTTATTACTTTTGTTGATGATTGCAGTAGATATATGTATGTTTATCTTTTAAGAACAAAAGATGAAGCTTTTGATATGTTTAAAAAATACAAAACAGAAGTTGAAAATCAACTTGAAAGGAAAATTAAAGTATTACGTTCTGATAGAGGTGGTGAATATTTTTCTGATAATTTTAATACTTTTTGTGAAGAACATGGCATTATTCATCAATGTACAGCACCTTATACTCCCCAACAGAATGGTTTAGCCGAAAGAAAAAATAGAACTTTACAAGAAATGATAAATTGTATGCTTAATAATGCTAAGTTACCTTTAAATTTATGGGGAGAAGCTTTGTACACAGCATGCTATATTCATAATAGGATTCCCTCTAAAAAGTCAAATATAAGCCCTTATGAGTTATGGAAAGGTAGAAAACCTAATCTGTTATATTTTAAAGTGTGGGGGTGTTTGACTTATTATAGAATTCCTGATCCTAAAAGAACAAAACTTGGACCTAGAGTCTTTAAAAGTGTTTTTGTCGGATATGCTGAAAATAGCAAAGCATATAGACTACTTGATTTATCTTCTAATACTATTGTTGAATCTAGAGATGTTGAATTCTTTGAAAATAAATTTTCTGTAGATTCTGAAAATGTTGAAAATGTTCCTATTCTGCTTAACTCTAATAATATTTCTAGTTCTGATTTTCATGCTAAGGAAACGAATACATCTAAAGAAATATCAGAGCCGAGAAGAAGCACTAGAGCAAGAAAAGAGAAATCTTTACCTTCAGATTTTATTTCTCCTGAACAAATTATTTTTCTTGTTGAAGGTGATAGGAATAATAATGTTTTAAATAAACATCCTATAAGTTTTAATCCAAGTGATGATCCTAAAACCTTTATAGAAGCAATGTCATCTAGAGATGCTTCATTTTGGAAAGAAGCTGTCAATGATGAAATGGATTCTATAATGGGAAATAGTACTTGGATTTTAGTAGATTTACCTCAAGGATCAAAGCCAATAGGATGTAAATGGGTTTTTAGAAGAAAATATCATTCTGATGGTTCTGTTCAAGCTTTAAGGTTAGATTAGTAGCCAAATGGTTTAGACAAAAAGAAGACATAGATTATTTTGATACATATGCACCTGTCGCACGTATAACATCTATTAGAATTCTTATTGCTTTGACATCTATACATAAATTATTTGTGTATCAAATGGATGTCAAAACTGCTTTTTTAAATGGAGATTTAAATGAGGAGGTTTACATGGAACAACCGGAAGGTTTTATTCTTCCAGGAAATGAAAGAAAAGTATGTAAACTAATTAAATCTCTTTATGGTCTTAAACAAGCACCAAAACAATGGCATGAAAAGTTTGATTCTGTTATTCTATCTTATGGTTTCAAACATAATAGTGCTGATAAGTGTATTTATTCTAAATTCACTGATAAATATGGTGTGCTTGTCTGCTTGTATGTGGATGACATGTTAATATTCGGCACTAATATGATTGGCATAAATGAGACTAAAGAGTATCTATCTTCTATGTTTAAAATGAAAGATTTAGGAGAAGCGGATACTATTTTAGGGATCAAAGTTAGAAAACATAGTGGGGGTTTTTCTTTAAGCCAATCACATTATATTGAAAAAATAGTGAATAAATTTAATCATCTTGGTTTTAAAGAAGTTAACACTCCTTTTGATCCCAGTGTCAAATTGACTGCCAATTCTGGTAGAGCTGTAGCACAGCTTGAGTATGCTAGTGCAATTGGTTCTTTAATGTATGTCATGCATTGTACTAGACCTGATATTTCATTTGCTGTATGCAAATTAAGTAGATACACTAGTAATCCAAGTGTAGAACATTGGAAAAGCATTTCCAGGATTTTTGGATATTTAAAGAAAACCAAAAATCTGTGTTTGTTCTATAATGAATATCCGGCTGTATTAGAGAGATACACCGATGCAAGCTGGATGACTAGTGTTGGAGACAACCAATCCACTTATGGAATGGTTTTTACACTTGGTGGAGGAGCAGTTTCTTGGGCAAGCAAGAAACAAAAATGTATCTCACACTCCACTATGGAATCTGGATTCATTGCTTTAGCAGCAACTGGTAAAGAGGCTGAATGGATTAGGAACTTATTGCTAGATATTAAGTTTTGCTTTAGCAGCAACTGGTAAAGAGGCTGAATGGATTAGGAACTTATTGCTAGATATTAAGTTATGGCTGAGTCTAATGCCTCCTATCTCTATCTATTGTGATAGTCAAGCCACTTTGTCAAGGACTTATAACTGTACATATAATGGTAAGTCTAGACACATAAGTCTAAGACATGAATATGTGAGACACTTGATACAAGATAGTGTCATAACTATTGTCTATGTCAAGACAAATAAAAATTTGGATGATCCATTTACAAAACCTCTAGCAAGAGAGGTAGTAAAGATGACATCAAGTGAAATGGGGCTAAAACATTATATTTAAAAATCACCAGGAATAGTAACCCAACCATTTACTAGAACTAAACTGGTTAAATGGTTTAAATGGGTAATAACAAGTTTCTGAAAGTGATTGATTGATAGTGACGCATTAAGCCCTAAAAGATAATGTCAATATCGTCCATTACGGAATAAGAGGATGAGTTATGCTCTTAATGAAAGTCTAATACATTATTGTTGTGTGTTTAAAGTAATGGAAAACACATTGTAGACGTTTCACCTATATGAACTTAGAAGTGGTGCCGCTTCTTAAAAGAACTAAAGGTTTGTTCTTTAAAGAGTTCATGAACCAGGAATAAGCACAAGGCCATAACAGTGCTAAAATATTAATTCTCATTGAAACAAGAGATTAGTGTATGTACAATATTCTCCGGTTCTATCACAAAGAGTAATTAGTTTAATGTTAAGGCAACTAACGACTTTGATAGAACTTTGAGGTATTTGTACTAAGTAAAGGTTTAAATCGAAAGATACCTCTACATATGTATACTTATCTCATTTTGTACATATTGCAGATTATTTTTAAATATAATACTATAAAATGTTTTTTTCAAACAAAGTGGGGGATTGTTAGTATTTGTTTGTAAAAAAACAAGATAGTCCCACATTGGAATTTTGAACATTCTTTTAGAGGTTTAAAAGCATTGAATGCTTATTGGGATTTGAATAATGGATCAAAGTATAGGCTTCTAAACCCGAGTGCGGGTAGCGCGAATAATGCGCGATTTTGACGCGATTATTAGACGCACTTAGCACTTTACACGCTTGCCGCTGCCGCTTAAATGTTCTATTTTATATATATATTGAATATATATATTTTTTAAATGTTATTTTGAATTTAAAAAAAAATTATGAAAAGATAAGTGACTGTTGAAAAGTGGCTGTTTGCTCCAAGGGGTGTAAAAAATTATGAAAAGATAAGTGACTGTTGAAAAGTGGCTGTTTGCTCCAAGGGGTGTTTTGAAAAGTTGTGACTGTTGGAAGCACATTTTCAAAACCTATAAATGTTGGGAATTTAACGCCTAAACCCCTAATGCAACAGAAACGCAGTATAGAGAAAAGTACACCAAGATTTAACGAGGTTCGGCAACTGCCTACGTCCTCGGGAGCCACACAGATAATTTCTTATTAATCAAACAAGAAATTACAATTATAAGAGCAGATCAAAAATGAGATCTCTCAATTAAACACTGTAGTACAGTGTTAATAATTAAAGGGTATGAACCCTTTCAATTCTCACTTGAGAATAAATGAATACCCCACTATAAATACACCCTCTTTAATGATCTCTCTCTCTCCTCTCAAATCCCCTCACACCGGAGATTTATCACAAATCGTTGCTGCGATTTTGGGCAGTTCGCCGCCGCCGCCAGAGAGAAGAAATCGGAGAAGGGGGAAGCTCTAGCCAAAACCCTAGGTCGACGGGGGAGGGGTTTTATAGACGGAAATGACAGGCTGGCGACAGCCTGTCGCCAGCCACGCGAGCGTCCTTCTTTGACGCCAAGTTCGCAGGCCCCGAACGCAGAGGTCGGACCCCCCCCAAACGCAGAGCTCGCCATCGCCAAACGCAGAGCTTGCCATCGCCAAACGCAGAGCTCGCCATCGCCAAACGCAGAGCTTCCATCGGCTCAAGACATACTTCGTCATACGAGCCCACCAAAACCTGTCCAAAGAATGGACCCAACCATAGAATCTGTGGCGCGGTGCAGGCA